CTCTGCCATTCGTGTTGGAAAGTAACAAGAAATCACACACAGCAGCCCCCGTGATGCCAGATGAGGAGTTGGATGCTGAGCTTGACAGGTATGGGGCAAGAAACTGGTAGGAAATGGAAAATAAACAGCAGGTTCTTAAGAGCAGATGTGGGGAGAAGGGAGCTATGGGGGTAGCTGCATTTCTTAGCAAATCTTGTGCTTTCTGAAACTGTTCAGCTGAGTGGTAGCAGCAGAATAGGATTTTGTGTAGGAAATTGCACACACATATGTTAGTAATTTGAGCAAAGCCCTCATCGTGTACAACTGTTGTATTTATTCCATTTGACTTAGATACTTGTTTCCTGGAATTATGGATATATCTGCCCATTTTAATAATGGACCTGCCTTGCTCTGTCACTTTACCAATATATAAAGAAATCTCAAGACTCAACTTCTAGCCTCTGGGTCACCTGGCTCCTTTCTGCACTTGACCAGGAGATCCATTTCCAGATCTGGTCACCGAGCTGCTCTTTCACTGAGCTTCAGAGTAATTCATCGAATGTCCTAAGGAGCCCTTTCAGGCTTCTGTTGTGCTCCTGGATGACACAAGTGTGTTACAATGTGTGTGCTGGTTCTTTCCCTTTTGTGTGGATAGCTGGGGAGAGGAAGAACTTCCATACCCCGTAGGCTGACTCCTGCCTGTATTTCTTTCACAGTGATGATGACCTCATCCCTTATGACATGTCAGAGGATAAAGAACTAAAAACTAAAGCTCCTGTGTATATCCGAGACTGTATTGAAGGTAGGAGATTTTGGGATGAGTATTTGTTTCTTACTGGTTTTGGGAGAGTGATCTCTGTGCAGGTTTATTTTTTTTCTGACCTAATTTGAAGAAGTTGTAGGATTTAAATAATCTGAGCTCAAATGTTGAACTGTAATTTCTGACTAATTTCAGTTTAATTCCTAATGCTGGTCATGTGCTGAGTCAGTGAAATGTACCTATAACAAGACAAACTATTGGCAGAAAGAAGTTGGGTTGTATATAACAAAGCTCAACTGTTCTGTTAATAGCTTTTGTCTTTTGATTACCTTCAGTCCTGACAGGATCTGAAGATGTGGACAAATGGGAAGCTACAATCAAGGCTCTTGAGAGCTTGGTTCGAAAGAATCCAGCAGCAACAAGAGAGGTGAAGTAGTATGAGCTAAGTTACGAGTGGGCTGTAATACAGGATTATCTCTTTGCCCTTGTGAGGAGACTAAACATGCCAGCAGAGCAGCAGGCCAGGCTACAGTGTACCTGGATTTAAAGCTTTCAACCTGGGAAGGGAAACAGAATGAAATAGTTGCTTTGGAGGTGAGGCCACAGAGTGCAAAGGAACAAAGAAGCAGGCAAAGGTCCTGGCAACTGTACGGCATTTAGCAACTCCGTGCTGAAAATGAAAAGCATTGTACTGTAGAGGTGCCAGTAACATGAGGAAGCTCCATGCTCTGTGCTGGGCAGAAAAAACATTAAAAATGCAGTTCACAGAACAGCCGTGAATCCCACAGACCAGTTGTTTGTAATTTTGGATTTAATTGATTTTGAATTGAAATTGAATTTCATTGTTCCCCAACAAAAGAGGAGATAAAATCAAATGAACTTTCCCTATTCCCTTGTACAAGCATAATGTCTTCTGGAGGGAGTAGTTGGATTGTCCTGGTCAAGATGAAAAGATGCCACCACTTGTCCAGAGTGAATGTGGACAGAGAAATCGGCATAGGGGTTTGTTCAGTGTTTTGAGAAATGTCTTGATGGCATTTAGCTTAATGTGTTTTCACTCTCTCCTAAGTAATGGAGACATTGCCTGCATTCCATATCCTTATTGTCTTTGCTTAAATGTAAGGAATTGAAAATGGATGCTGTGGTGTAAATTCTGTGAGAAAGAAAACGCCTGCAGGGATTTTATTCCTGTTTTCATATTTTGAGCAGGTTAGCGTGGAGCTGGCAAAAATCCTGTTGCATCTTGAGGAGAAGACCTGCATTGAAGGCTTTGTGGAGCTCCGTCAGAGAGCTCAAGTGGCTGTTTTAACCACAGATCCAATACCTGTGAGTCCCTCTTACTGCTCTCCTTTTTCCAGTTGAGGCACAGGCAAAAATTGAAGCAGCTGAGCCCTCTTCAAGTATTGGAAGGCCCCAGTGAGGTCTCCTTTGAAGTGCCAGAGCTGCCATGGCAGTTGTTTGAGTACCTCTGCTTAGGAAGGAGAGAAGAATGGAAAAGTTCCATTTGTCATTTGCTTCCTGTGGGAGAATCTAGAAGTAGAAGTATCTGAATTTCCTGTCTGCACAGCATGTCTCTTCCCTTCTCTTGGAGGCTTCTTGTTAACTAACAGGAAGCAGGACTTCTCCTGAAGTACAGCACTTCTACAATTCGTGGGAAGGCTGTTTACAGCCTGGATTTGTGCTTATCACACCTTGATTTTTCTGTACAGGTAGCAAAGTACTTGACCTCCCAGTTCTACTCTCTGAACTACAGTCTTCGTCAGCGCATGGACATTCTCGATGTAAGTGCTCTTCTCTTCCTGCTTTCCTTGTGTTTTCGTTGCATCAGTGGTGTTTCCCTGAGATGTATTGGGGTTACCTTTTATTCCTTGGAGGAGGCAGCAGAGGCATGGGACTCTGACATTGGCATTTGTGCTTGGCACTCTCCTGTTCATAACTCCAGTTGTACAGCGATACTTCCCCACAGAATGCAAAACATACGATGGTCATTTGCTTAGAAGAAGCCACTGTTTTCTCGCGTGTCATCAGTCTGTGATATCTTCACTTTCTGAAAGACAGCAATCTGCCTGTGACTGCTGTTGTTACACTTTCTGTGCCTGAAGAAGGAGCCACTGTTCTGTTTCAGGGCTTGATTTCAGGTACAAGTGACCAAGTGCTTGGTTTGGGTTAGTTGCCGTGCTGTTCTTCATTCTAAACATGTTGAGCCTTTCTGTTCCTATCATTTTGGGTGCAGGTAACTCTGTTGTTGTTTTGTAGTACAAGGATTACCCCTTTTTAACCAAACCTGCCTCTTTTTCATCTAGATACTGGTTTTGGCAGCTCAAGAACTGTCTTGTCCCAAATCCCAGGGGAAGACCAAGCATTCTGGTGCTCAAAAACCTTCTATCCAGCTCCTTCCTGGAAGTGACAGCTCGAAGGACTGGAGAAGAATTGTTGATGAAAGGATCCAAAGCAAGACTCGGAGATTTGCTACGGTGAGTCCAGGGCAGAAACAAACTAATGCCAAATCCAGCAAAAACAGGGACAGTAGGAGTTGCTGTAGTTCTATCCAGAACGAGCAAAACACCTGTGAGATTGAAGGAAAGAAAATGTAACTTCAAATATAAATATCTTAGTTTCTGGCTGAATTTCTTGGTCTATAGTACCAGATCCTGTAGTCCTCTCCTAGCAGGCAGAGGAACATAAACCTTGAACTCCTTGCCTTGCACTGAGGAGTAGTTGTTGCTGTTCTGTGCTTGTTCTGAGCTTCTCTGGCCGCTGCAGGGAGCTGTGACTGCACCTCGCAGATCCCTGAGCCTCTTCCATTAAAATAGCTGCCACAGGACTGGACTGTCTCAGCCTTCCTATTTTTCAGGGAGATAAATTGACACCGGTTTCCTGGTTCCCAGAACTCCCCTGACGTTCATTCTCGAGAAATTCCTTTTCAATACTCCTTTATCCCTTGCGTGTTCTTGTTTCTTAAATCTAACCCAGCCATACTGAGCTATGTTGCACTGAAATATTTAGATGAGAGGATCTGAAGTGGGAAGTGAGCCATCCAGCCTGTGAACTAGTAGCCATAGGCGTACAAACAAGCAGTGGCTGCAAGGAACCTGTAGTCTTGACAGTGCCCAGTGAAGTGGAAGAGTTGGATGCTACATCTTGTGTATCTTGTACATCTTCATTTTTCATTTTTGTACGTTTTCATTTTTTTCTTGGACAGGGTCAGTCTCAAGTGGAATTGGCTTCCAGCCCAAATGAGTTCAGTTCTGTTGCTGGCCACTTCTTTTTTCCGTTGATTCAGCACTTTGACAGGTGAGCGTGGGATGTGGGCATGGCAGCTGCCAGTGAACCAAGAATCAAGTTTCTTGTAATACCAGTCTTAATGTATGGCAGCGGTGCTAGCTTTGGTAGAATAAGTGATACTTGCTGTAAAAGTAGAGGATATTACTGGTCTGGGAGCAAAGGGCTGTGGCCTGTGCTAAACTGGGGATGACTGTGTAACAGCTGTTGTTTTAGGGATTCAGGCTTGTGGGGGACAGTTTACCCTATATAACCACCCCAACTGTTCCAGAGATGGGCTGATCAGCTTCCTCACTGCTACAGGACTCTGCATCTTGCACTTGCAGGCCTTTGACAACATTTGATCTGCTGGGGGAAGATCACTTCGTCTTGGGAAGACTGGTCCACACTTTAGCAGTCCTGATGTACTTGGCTGTCAACACCGTGGTAAGAAAAGGCTGTGTTAGCTTGCAGAGAGCAGGAGGGATTTCCAGCCTGGGGACTTTTGAAAGAGCAGCATGCTCTGGGGCCTGCTACACTTAGACTGGCAACAAGTTTGAGTCACATGTGCTGAGAAGTTGTGAAAAGGGCTGAGAAAAAATGATCAGAAGGGAGATGCAGGATTCAGACACCTCTGCACTATCTTCTGCTGCTTCTGGTAGAAAAACTATCAGCTTCTGTGGGAGGTTGGGCACATCATTTCACTTTACTGCCTAAGTTTCCTCATCTGTAAAATAAAGTTAATTGTAACCCTGATGTTCACAACTGCATATCTCAAGGCCCAGTTCTGCAGGGTCATGTGAATGTGAAGGGATTCAGTGTTTCTGTCATATTCCTGTTTTGCAGGCAGTCACTACAATTGGAAAAGTGCTGTTGGAGTTTGTTTGGGCTCTGCGTTTCCACGCTGACTCGTGAGTTGTAGTTGTATGCTTTCATTTTTAAAAATCAGCTGCAAGCCAGTCTCCAGCCATGGTTTGTCTTTGTCCAAATCTGCACCTGACTGAGAATGCAATGATTTAATGCATTAACTCTATGCTCTCCTCCAGCCTTGTGTTCTTATGACTGAGCATTGCTAGAATATGTAATGAAGGCATTGCTTTAATGTCAGACCAACACATGAACTTGGTTAGTGTTTTCTACTTTGGAGGTACAGTCATTACCTATAGAAAGCATGACAGATGTCTTTAACAGCTATTCATGTGATAGCTTCAGGTATGTTTACTCAAGGAGCTCAGAAGACTTTAGGTTCAATTCCAGCATTCAACCCTGGGAAAAAAATAGGATATGTAGCCAAAAATGCTGTAAACATCCAATTTCTGTTTTCATCTCAGCCTTGTGCCAGACTCTGAATCATGCTCGACTCCCTGCACCACAGCATGGCAGGGGCTCTGTATGCGAGCACTCTGCCAGCTGGTGCACGATGACACTTACAATCAGTAGGAATATGGCAAATGTTGTCATAATCGCAAACATTTGAAACTGGAGAACCCCTTAATTGAGGAAATCAAGGTAGAGCATGAAGCTGCAGGCCCTAACCAGTTCAGTCTTTCTCCAACAGGTATGTGCGCCAGGGTCTTCTGTCCTGCGTCTCCTCCGTGCTCCTCAGTGTCCCTTCGGAGCGTCTTCTGGAAGACATGACAGAAGAGCTTTTGGAGACTCAGTCCTGGCTGGGAGGTAAGACATGGTGGGGTACACCAGTGTTTTTCTGGTTAGTGGTGCAGTCTTTGGGCAGCTTCTCTTTAATTGTGATGGTAGCAGTAATGTCCTAGTGTTGTGCACCAGAGATTTGCATTATAAGTGTATTTATTGCTTGTAACTTTAGGGCAAATACTGGACCACACTGTGTGCTGTACAGATGTATTACTGAGGTAGCTAAAGCATAAGCTGAGCACTGCGTATGGCATTTTAAAGTGTGACTGTCCTCACCTACGTGCCTAACAAAAAATCCCAAAGTGTAGTGTGTACCCCTTTTCTTTGTCTAAGCATCCAACCACCCATCTCATGAAGGTGCAGCAAGTACTGTCATATTGCATCCAGGCTGTGACTTTGACCAGCACTTGTATGGCCTGTTTACCCCATGTGCACAGAAGATGGGTTTCATTCATGCTAAAAATAGGAGGAAGATGGATGAGCGTGGCCCCATCTCCTAAATTCCTGTTGCTGATTAAAGGAACAACCTATGAAAGACAGCAAATGACTTTGCATGCTGCACCCAACGCCCCTTATATCAGCACAAGCTGTGTTTGTGGGTTCTGATAGCAGGAGCTGCACAAGTTGGTGGTTGGGTATTGCAGAGGAAGGACAAGAGGAAATAATAACACTGTGTGCTTTGTAGTTCTGAAGCCTCCACTGTATTCTGAGTGGATCTCCTGTGACTCCCTGGGTTGGTTTCCTTCACCATTCTCACTCCTGGTGAGTTGGCTTCCCACAGGGAGCAGGCAGGAAGTGAAACTGACACAGGCGGCCTCTGATCCTTGCAGGTTGTGGAGCTCTGTGCCCTTTAAAAGGAAGAGAGCTGCCTTGCGGGGCTGAAAACTTTACTTTTCCCATGACATGGTGTGCTCTGAGGAATCTGCTTGTCCCTGCAGTTAACACTGCCATTACCAAGTAAAGCCTTTCCAGGAATGTTATAAATGTGTTTTCAGCATGAGGGTCTGCGTAATCTGTTTTTAATGAGTTATTTTTGGAAGGAGGAGAACGACAGAGCTAACAGCGTATATCTGCATCAAAGTAGTGCAATAGCCATCTCTTTGCATGTAGTGCTTCTGCATCAAACTTGCATGGTTGGTCCTGGTGGGAATCAGAGCTTCCTGAAACACAGCAGCTTCTCGGGCCATGCCTTCGCTCTTTGTTATAAGCCTTGGTAAAACAGCTATCACAGGGGGGCACTGAGCTCTTCCTCGCTGCTCCAATGAGTGAAGTCAGTCACAAGAGACCTGCTTTTGTGACTGAATCTTGGTTTTGAGCTAGTGGACTTGCTCATCACTCTTCCAGGCAAGATTTGCAAGAGGTGTCATGTATTAGATCTGCCATGCATTAGATCTGCTGCTGTAGCTGGGAAAAATGACAAGCTGTCAAGCATGCAAGCTGCCTACTGCCATGCGTTATGACCAGAAGTCACCACTTCAGGTTTCAGCTTCAAGCATCTACATTTCTCCTGCTATGGCTGAAGCACAATGAGGAACAGTGGACTAGAAAACGTTATCCATGAAGCTTTTAGTAGAAATCTACAAATCTGCTCCTGTTTGTTGCTGTATCAGGGCCTATGGAGATTGCTGTAGTTCATCATGTGAATATGATTGACTCTTTCTGCCCTTCAGCCTTTGGGCTGTAACTAAAACTGTTCCCTGTTAGAAAGTGTTTGCATTGTGGTGTAAGAAACTACTTCAGCCACTGTCATGGGACTGTCTACTTGCTTTGGGACATTTCAGCAGGGGAGAGGGGCTAGGATCCACCTTGTACTTGTCTGTCACTGCCCTTAATGGCATGCTGGACCTACTGGTGAGTAGCCTAATCTTTCCTGCAGGAGGGAGGGAATACCTAAACATTTCTAGGAAACAGTTCCTTTGATTCCTCAGCAGCTGCCTTTGAGGGAAATCCCCACCCCTTGCAAGTTCTGTAGAGCTGTGTCATAGGTAAGTCTGGTTTATGTAAGGACCTGAATGATGCTCTGGTGCCCTGTGCCTCCCTTTCAGTGGCTGCAGTTCAAGGTCCATGCTCATGGCAGTTAGAAACAATGCCAACATCGGTCCATTAGCTTCTGAGCTTGCACTCGTCTGTCTTATAGCCTCCCTGTTGCCTTCTGTAGAGGGAGTATGGAAGCACCATCGCGAAGCTCTCCCTGCAGTTATAAATAGCCCTGCTCCATCCAAATGAGTCATGTGTTTGGGCTGACAGCGCTGGGCGCTGAGCACACTGCTTGTGCGTACAGGATATCCTTACACAGACTCTCTGCTCTTCCAGGCTCCCCCTGCTCAGACATCCTGCATGCATCCTGGTTTTTACTTTGCAGGTCCATTAAGGGCCCCTGAAATAACAGCTGCTAGAAGCAGCTCCGTGCCTTCCCTTACTGCTGCATAAAGTGTGAAAGAACAACCAGTTTAGCAGACTTACCTCTCAGAACAGAGAATGTATTGAAACTTGGGGCCTCTCTTTCTGTCCCTCTTTTGAAGGGCAGCGCAACCACAGATTGGAGGAGGGAGTGCTGAGCTCCCTGTTTGTTGCAGGAATTGGCAGAAAGGAGACTTTAGGCTTCTGAGGAAGTCCATTTCTAATTGCAGACTGCATTCATGCTGGCAGATCAGCTGTGGAAAGGCTGTGTATAGCTCAAGGGCACAAGTACAGATTCTGGCCTGGCGGTTATCCTGTGAAATGCAAGGTCGGACAGTTTCTATAGTGTTTCAACCCAACTACTTGTTCTGCTGCAAGAATGAACCGAGCATTATCACATGTGACAGAGCTCAGCTACATTCATACTGCTTAAGATGATCAAGTTTATGCATCCCTGCCTTCTGGTCTAACAATTACTGCAAGTGCTATGTCCAGACCAGACTTATTTTCATTTGCTGCTGCATTTAGTGCTGTTCTGTGATGGTCAGTGAAACAGTAGTGTTAAGTGAAAAGCAGTTTCTCCCCGTTTTCCAACTAAAAGTGGCTTTTTCTTTTACAGACGTGGTGGAGAAGGATCCAGATGGGGACTGCAGGAGGCTGGCCTTGCAGAACTTGCTACTAATGGAGAACCTGAAAAAGAAACTCCAAACTGTCCCTTCCTAGCTGAAGGGTGAAAGAAATGACCTTTACCTCATCCTCTTGCCAGCTGGATGTGTGTAGGCACTGCAGGGCCTCTTCAGCAGTCACCTGGCTGGAGAAGAGGAAGAAGGGGGGAAGGGTGCAGGGCTGCGAGCCAGCAAACCTGACTTGACATCTGGACTTTGTAGTGGAGGCCAATTTAGTGAGCTATTGCTATCCGGTACGGCATGTACAGATGCAGGAAGGTAGGCTAGCACTGCCATTCTCCCCGCACCGCCCCAGCCCCCACCCCCAGCTATTTATAACCTTGGCAGGTTTGAGAGCTCTGCTAAAAATACAGGGAAGATCTCACAGCAGATTTCTTGTCAGAAAAACAGAAGGGCTGGAGAGGGCCACTTACCTCCCAGGGCTAAGTCTGTGACGTGCCCGTAACAAAGACTCCCCTGTCTTCTAGCAGTCAGCATTTGGTAGAACATCATCAGTCTGCGGTTCGAAAGGGTGGCACAGCGTAGGGAACGACACTGCTGATAAAGTGTAAGAACTGAATAGCTATGCTGAAGTCCTGAAAATGTGCCAAATGTTAACGGCTTGAGCTAGAGCTGTGCTGTGGCTGGGAAGGAACAACGCAGGAATTCTTTTTGTATAAACTTAGTACAAAATAAACTTCTATTAAAGGATAACTAACGTCCAGATTTTGGGCTTAAAATCTCCCCTCACCCTTCTTCCCTGCAAGCATCCAATTTAAAAACTTCATATGCATCCCAAGTTTTGATGCAAGTCACAGAACAGGAAAAAGAAAAATCCCTTTTAAGCAGAAGGGTGAGTTGGTATGAAGTGTATGAGAGAGACTTCATAAATACATCCTCATGGAGTAGGCTTAGAGGTGAGCAAAACCTTGGTTACTTAAGTTGGGCTTCACTTCTTATGGTCCTACTTGTGCCAGGGAAGAAACTTTCATCCTAAGTTCTGATTAGTACAGAGAAGCTCGACATAACTGTGGAGGCTGGAAAAGAAACTTCATAGTGAGGAAGAAGTTTCACTCGCTGAATGTGACCCAGCCTGAGCAGGGAGGATTGGCCCAAATGAGCCCCTACCACCCCCAACCATTCTGTGGCTCTGGGGTTTATTCCAGATTTTTGTAAATGGCAGCTCTAGCCTACATGACCCGATGCTGTATTTAAATACAAAAGCTTTGGGCTGGGGGAAGCCTCCCTTCCTTGTGCAGCAGGGGAGTAGTTTAACTTTTACCCAAACAGGCAGAGATTGTTTTCAGAAGTTTTGACTTCTAGGGAATGACGGATCAGTGAGGACCTCAGCAGATCAAAGTTGTACTCGAAACCTCTGGCAACTCAGGAGTTTCCATCTCAGTTACTCATCTCTTTTCTGTACTGGAAAAAAGGCCTGAAGTTGCAATTTACAGTTCTTGTGGTTTTTTTCCCTCCCTCTCAAATTTATTGAAATACTAAAACCAGCTTCATAACAGGATATACATGTGCATCTTTGTATGTAGTGTTTGGGATTATATATAAACTTCAATACTGTTGCTTGTACAGTCAAGCAGGAAAAACAAATTTCTTGGTAATAACCAAAAAAGCCTTACTGCAGCAGTGCGCTGACTGATGCATAACCCCTAATGAAACCAGAGTAAATCAGCTTTGCATTCAGTAAGTGCAGGTTATCAAGGGTCCTCCATTACATCAGCTACATCTTCCTCCACCTCCTTGTTTTCCATATTGTTGGGGTGAAGTTGCTCCGGAACCAGGGTTCGGCTTATGGGAATGCCTGCTCCTCGGTGCACTGCCTCGATGGTCTGTGGAGTCACGTAGGAGCTCAGGTTCAGGGCTGGAATTCTTTTCTGTATCTCTTCCAGGTACTGGTATGCCTGAAGTGACACACAGAGATCACTGCTAGGGAGTTACTGCTATGTGAGTCCCAGCACAACAGTGAAAAGCTTCCACCCTTAGTGTGTGGCTGAGCTCTTGACAGGAGCTCTGTGTTGAAGGGTGCTAACGCTTAGCCATGAGTTGCAGCCTCTGCTAACATGATGACTTTCCACAGTGACTTGTGTCAATTCTGTCTTTCTCAGTTTAGAAAATAAGGGTCTCAGAGGCTGGTTTTACATTCTCCTGATAGTGAAGCACTGTCAAAGCAGGTTAAAAACGAGGTCAGTCAGCACAGCTGCAGAAACTCAATATCCTTATGTTTCAGAATAGAGGCAGGTTACAGTTTAGTCCAAACACTAGGATGGAAACTTCTGCCCAGAAGAAGTGATTCACCATTTAGAGAATCACAGCATGGTTTGGGTTGGAAGGGGCCTTAAACCTCATCCAGTCCAACTCCTGACATGGGCAGGGACATCTCGACCAGACCAGGCTGCTTAAAGGCCCTGTCCAACCTGGCCTTGAACACTGCCAGGGAGGGGGCATCCACAGCTTCCCTGGGCAGCCTGTGCCAGTGCCTCACCACTCTCATTTCTTCCTAATGTCTAATCTAAATTTACCCACTTCCAGTTTAAAGCCCCTTGTCCTATCCTCCCTGTAAGGAGTCTCTGCTATGGACCATCTTCCTGTACAGGATAACCATGCTATACCAAGCTGCACTGGTGTATATAAAATACAGGCTCTGTAGACTGGAAGAATTAAAAAGTAACGTACCATCTGGAATTCCTCCGCTTGTACATAATGTTCAACCAGAAATCCCAAGACATCACCATGCTGGATGGCGGTGTCAAAATCTGGTTCGGTTAGGAGAAGTTCACACTGTCTGACCGCTTCTTTGGGATCTTCAGAGTAATTTCTAGTAAGGAGCAAAAGGAAACTGTTAACAACCCAGGAGAGAGCACTCAGCTTGTCAGGTGAAGAGCAGGGAAGATGTTTTTATGGTGGTGTGTTTCATAATCGCCTTTCTGACCGAGCTACACTTTCCTTGGTCAATAAACTTTCTTGTATTTTTGTCTTTAATGTCAACAGCACTTCTAAAAAAAAAAAAAAAACAAAACACATAATGGTTTCCCTGCTATAAAAATGTACCAGCAGCTTTTAGAAGTGAATCTGCAAATTATTGATTCAACTGTGGGTACCGTTACAACTTTTCTTCTTGTGCGGTATTTCATGTGCTCTGAATACTGCAGCTCACCTCCGAGCTTGGTTGAATCGCTTAATCAGGGTCATCTTGCTCTGCAACTGTATGAGTTTGCTTTCCTGTTCCAGAGGGCTTCTAGTCTTTGCCTTTGAAAGACACACATATGCCTCCATCAAGGCCCCTTGTGCTTTCTCATAGTTCTGATACTCATCAATTTCTGCCTGCAAGAGGAGAAATGAGGTGAATGTCTTACTCCAGAGCTAACAAACCAAACACCTTTAGCAGTCGCAGAAGGGTGATGTACCTGAGCACATGCCTCATAGAAACCTGCCAGCAGGTCAAGGGCCCGCCCTTTAGTATAGAAGCTAATGATGTTCTTCATAATCTCGGGGTCCTTACGCCAGTCCAGTGATTGTAGATAGTTGGCTGCCATGATATAAATCTCTCTCTGTCTGGAAACTCCCGCAAAGAAGATAATTTTCTCGGTATCGCCGGATTTCAACAGCGCCCTCATAGCCTGGCAATGGAAAGGGGGGCATGGGAGAAGAAAGTATAATTATGAATGCAAAACCACAAGCTCTGCTAAGACAGCTGGGCAGCCTTGTCTGAATAGTCTACTGCATGAAGGCTGTTCCAAGATTTACTTCTCAAAATGTCCTTGTTTTGAGAAACCTTAGGAAGGTAGCTCTTCAGCTTTTTTTTTTTTTCCCTTTTCTGCCGATCCAGACTGACCTTTAACTTGTTTCCCGCTTGCGTGTATTTCTTGGTGGCCATGTGGTAATTGCCTTGTCTCATGCAGCAGTCAGCAATTTGCTCCAGCAGCTCTCTGCGGGACTCCTCAGAGAGGTCCTTGGAGTCCTTGGAGACTGTCAGCTTCTCAGCCAGCTCCTCCGTGATGGTCAGGTTCTGCTTCAGGCAAAGTTGCAGAGCCTCATGGTACTAATGGAAGTGAAAAAGCAATGACAGGTTGCAAACTGTAGCAATACTTCATGTTGCTTGTGGTGGTGCCTACAGAAGTTAGCTATATGAGAATACAAATGCCAGCAGATGTGGATGCTCTCCCTAGAACGTTGTTGTGTAGCTGAGCACCCCAACATTGACTCCTGTTCAAGTACACGCCATCTCTGTTCACTAAGAATGGATTTGTTCTTCCATGAAGACTGCTAGTGTGGCACTGAAGATTCATCCATTCCATTTCATTTATTTGAATGTGACGTTCTTAGTGACATACAAGTCAGATTAATTAGGCATGGTTGATTATATTAAGGTTTTCAGCAAATATAAATAAAATAAATACAGGCTTTTGAAAGATTTTGTTAAATACTTTGCTGCTTCCCATACAGGAACAAATTACGAGTAAGATATAAATTGCTTTTAGCCCAGAAAAGCACTACTGTACCCTTGCGAAGAAAGGACGCCACAGGCGCTCATTACAGAGGAGTGGGTATAGGACTGCTCTGTACCTAGCATTTTGGTCAGGCTGAGTTGCCTTCACAACAAGGGTGAGGCAGAAGTGCATAAAAGTTTAGGTGAAAAATGTTGCACCTTAACTACACTGGTGGTATGACAAAAGGGACAGCATTGGGTTTTTTTGACCAATGATGTGATAATTTCCCTGCCTCCAAATCTGTTAGTTTAGAGAGTAGAAACTTTTCTTTTCCCAAGAGTGCAAAATCTGCAGGTTTTAAGCCAGAAATAAGAGAAAAAGGAATCCAGTTTTGGAGTTGAGCCAGTGGGCTCAGCCCCATGAGTCACTGGCATGAGAGGAAACTTTAAACTTTACAAATGTCTCTGCATATCTGTTTGTCAACAAAGAAAAATGCATGTGTATGCACATACTCACCTGTTGTGCTCCTCTTCACCTATGCACACAGGTAAGCTGGAGCTTACCTTTTTGGCTGTGAGCAACAACTCCATTGCCTTCTCATACTGAGCATGTTCAATAAAGAAATCGGAACAGCGGGCTAGCAGAGCTGGGTCTGATTTCTCATCCAGGTCTTCAGCAATCAGCTGTAGGGCCCCAAACTGCTGCGTGGCAAAGGCAAGCTCCAGTGCCTTGGAGAAGTGGCCTGCCTGAAAAATTAGGAATGAGTCTTTGAAGAGCAGAATAAGCACTGCAGAATCAGTTTACAGGATACCCTAGAGTGGATTAATAAAGCATTGCCCACCATGAAGAAATGAGTAATAAACAGTACATATAGAAAAAAAACACTACAGTTGATTTAATGGTCCTCTGCTGTAGGAACTGCTTCAGTCTAAAGTTTGGTATTTTTTACTAAAAAAGACATTTACCTTGTGGTATAACATAACAGCTCTGTCCATCTGCTCCCCCTTTTCCTCATAATAGCAGGCTGCCTCTATCATGTCTTCCGGAGAGCTCAGAAGAGCCAGGTTCATCAGTTGATCATCTAAATTGTTCTCCTGTGCAAAAGCAAAGATTTGGCTCTAGGTATGCAGCAAACAGATTTCGTATTTCTATCTTCTGGCAAGCATACAGCTTTATACTGTCACGTATGAGCCCATCAACCCCCTTCTGTGCACAACCTACACCAACCCAAATAACTGAGCTGCAATGATGATAACTTGTTTCCATGCAGTTTTCTCTTGAGATATAGAAGAAAATAATGTCCCATAGAATCAAGACTTTATTGATGCATCTTTTGCAGAAGATGCAGGCAAAAACCAAGAACATCTTCCTAGTGGCTGAATATGAGCAAGCAGTGTCTCACAAGAGAGAATGGGCACAAATAACTGAGGATCACAGAATCAGAATTTAGATTGGAAAAGACCCTTAAGATCATCAAGTCCAATCACTAACATAGCACTGCCAAGTCCACCACTAAACCATGGCCCTAAGCACCACATCTACCCGTCTTTAAAATACCTCCAGGGATGGTGACTCCACCACTTCCCTGGGCAGCCCATTGCAATGCCTTATAATCCTTTGAGTGAAGAAATTTTTCCTAATACCCAATCTAAACTTCCCCTGGTGCAACTTAAAGCCATTTCCTCTTGTCCTACTGCTTGTTACTTGGGAGAAGAGACCAACCCCCACCTTGCTACACCCTCTACTCTTTCAGGTAGTTGTAGAGGGCGATAAGGTCTCCCCTCAGCCTCCTTTTCTCCAGGCTAAACAACCCATTTCCTCAGGTGCTCCTCACAAGACTTGTGCTCCAGACCCTTGTAATTTCATAGAATGCCAGGTTGGAAGGAACCACAAGGATCATCTAGTCCAACCTTTCAAGGTAAAAGTATAGTTTAAATGAGCACCCTGTCAAGTTGACTCTTAAAACTGACCAATGTAGGGGAATTTACCACTGCCCCTGGGAGATTATTGCAACGTCTGATTGATCTCATGGTAAAAAAATTTCTTCTGGAATTCAATTGGAATCTCCAAATTTGTTCCACTTTCTTTCCATATGCTGCCTAAAGAGAGAATCCTGCTTTACTTTTGGTCATTAAGGTACCTCCTTACATACCTTACACAAGCGGATGGCATTGTTAAATGCCTGGGCCCTGGTGTAGAAATGCACAGCCTGCTTGATTTCATCCTGACTCTCATACTGGCGGGCCAGGTGATAGGATGCTGCCCAATTCCCTGTTTCATTTGCTATTTCAGCAGCCTGAAAAGGAAGTGATACAGCTTTATATGTGCCTATATTCATCCCAGGAATGAGAATTCTCTGGAAGCAGATGGGAGCAGGCTGCCTTACCTTCTGAATGTTGCCCTGAAAGCAATGGACACGGACTAAGGAAAAATAATCCTGAGCCAGCGCATAGTACTTCAGTGCAGATTCCATGTCTGACTGACTCTCCAGATACTGTGCCCACCATTTCCACAGGCTCCTAGAAAAGCAACAATATTAATTGCAGTAACAAGAATTGCCAGAGACTGGATCTTTCACTCCTGGAGAACTAGACCTTGACTAGATACGTTTTTTTTAGAATGCAGACAAGGGGGTTCAGCCTAGATATCTAATGTGGCAGATCTTGAGCAAGATGTAGCATAACCCTGAAAAGCTGTCGATCATAATGGATAAAGCAGGGGTCGAACTTGCAGCTGAGAGGATTCATGCTCTGCTGTCCCTGCTCTCACAAGTTGCATTTCAGACCTGAAAGTCCCATTTAGGAGAAGGAACCACCATAGCACTGACTTGTCTTTCATCTTGTTGACGTAGTTCTCCAGGGCTTGTAAGTCTTCACAGAGCATTCGGGGTACCTCGAACCTATGCGTGTCTGACTTCTCATAGCTGTAGAGAAAAAAGAACATATAAGATGTGAAATTATTACCTTCTTATTGGCTCACTTCCTGTGTAAAAATCCATTTAATATTGTTTGACAGTTATAGAGTGACAACACTGGTAACACCGCTTCATTTGTATTATGAAGTTTACTCCAAGACCAGTTGCAGTCTGCCAGCAACATCAAAAATAAAAAGTTCAATGGTCCTGCAAGGCACCTGGAATCAAAGAGGCCATGTGATCACAGGACAGTAAATACTTTAAAAGTGCCAGTGATGGTCCAAAGAAATATCCCAGAAAGCTGCCCAAACATAAAGCACATCCCTGTGCAACTGGCTGAAAAGGTTGCAAAAGCCCTGGGCTCCTCATCTTGACTGGTCCTTCTGCTGACCACTGCCCCTTCAGCCTCTTTTCCACTGCTGGGACATCCCTGCACTTACGCCACCATCCACGATTAAGAGTATCTCCTCACCTCTCTGCCCACTTAGATCATCTAATGGGTCCGTCTGATAACATCAGAGCTCTACTTTCACTCAGAACAGAAGTGACCTTATTATATTATTATATTGTGAGACTTCATATGGGAAAACTCATATAAAATCAAGATTTCAAACAACAAATAGATCACATTAAAAATGACCTCCCCTAACTTCTCCAGGGACTCCAGTCACAGGAGAGGACTAGGCACCAGAAACACCCAAGTCAGACTAAATTCTGCCACCACAGTTGTGCTTAGGACACTCAGGAGAAGTAAACAAGTGGTTTTGTCATGGAAAAGGAAGGAAAAGAGGGCAGTGGTCTTCCAGAGCCAAGAACAGGATTGGATATCAGTGGGGTTCAACTACTGGCCCCAAAAAGACACTTAACCTTTCTGATGCTGAGCTTTATTAGCCTGGGAGGGTGCTGGGAAGTTTACTGTAACAATGCTTTAACTCCATGAGATAGAAAGCACCAGAAACAGGAAAAGATTTTAATTAATTATTAGCAGTCACAACCAGACATCTTCCTTAGCCTGCCTCCAGTCTTCACAGAAGATGAAGGCTCCAAATCCCCTGGGTGCCACAGGCTGCTTACTGGGTGAGTGCAAGACTCTGCTCTCCGGTTGCCTCCAGGTGCTTAGCGTAGTTGTAGTATGTAGTGCGTAGGTGAACCCGATCGTAGGCTTCGGCTGTTTCAATGGCTTTCTGCCACTGGTTTGAGGCTTGATAGAACTTGTTCAGGAGGTCATAGCGTTTGCAAGCCTTGTACAGTCGCTCCGCATCCTCCTGGAATGAAAGCAGGCAAACACGTCGTTAGCTCTGACTGGCACGTCATAGGTGTCCTTCACAACAGACACTGCACTTCTGAGTAGTTTATTAGTGCAGGTCATTGTAATGCAATTAAAGTAACAATAATTCAGGCAGGGGGTTTAACCAACCAAATAGACGTAGCCTGGAATAGCATGTTACTGGGAAACAGGATGTTTATGTGAGAATAAGGAAAGCACTCAGATCCTGGAATTTACGGTACAGTATCAACTGGGGGGGTGACACGAGCAAGCCATTAACAATTAAACGCTGTCATCGGGCGCATAAACCATCTCTGAAAGGGAGGATACTCTCACGTAGGGCTACAGTTAACAGCCACGCTGCCCACCGAGAGGTGAGCTCCAGGAGCAGGGCCCAGGCACTCAGGGTTTTGGCAAGAAGGCTTTCCATGCCAGGGACCTCCCGGTGTGACCTCCGAGCAGGTCTCAGAGGCACCAGTGCTGTTTATGGGCAACTCAGAATCTAATTCCTGGGAATAAATGCTCTTCATTTAAGACAGAATTAGAACAGGAGGATTTTGCTGATGCTGACGCAAGGGCAAGCAAATTTGGAACTATTATTTTTACGCTTTGAGAGGTACTCCTGTGGAAGAAGCATTTTCCTGCTCCACCCAACTGCTCTCCAGCTGAACACTATATTTAGTAAATTGAGATTAACTGTCCAAGACAGAAAAATAGTTTCTGTCTCTTATTGTTTCAAATTCAAAATAAAGCATAGAAAGTAGAGATGGAAGATGCCTGCACTATGATTCTGTACAAGATTAAAAAAAGCAACAGAACTGCATTCGTTTTGCTACACTTCCCCTCCACCTCTCCAAATAGAACTAAATATCCAAAAGAAGGAGCATTGATGCTTTTCAGCCTCGTAGCTCTCTCTGCCAGGAAGCATTTTCAAACATTTAGTTTGAATTTTCCTTTTCTTCTTCACTTTAACTCAGAACAGTTACTCTATCTCTCTAGCTTTTATACTCTTAAAATAGTTGTAGATTGCTAAACACCTTTTAAAAGCCAAATTCTAATTATTCAGCTATCTTAAAGGTTTCCTTTTCTATGAAACCTTTCCAAAACAATTTGCACTGATTTTCTCTGAACTTCTTCCAGTTACTTTTTTTTCTGGTAATGAGATGCTTTTAAGGGGTGAAAGTCAATATTCCAGCTGTAGCTGCAAAAAATACATAGACAGAATTTATCAACTCAGAGCTCCAGGATGTGGTGTCTCCTCAAAGGCAGCTCCAAACAGATTTTTGCTGTCACAGCGCCTTGCCATTTTTTTATCTAATTCATGATTTCCTGTGAACCATGAGATATTTCATCAATTCTCCTTTCCAAGTGTTTCCCTCTTGCAGATTATATGCTTGGATCTTTCATGGTCACCAAACTGAAAATCTCCTCTGCTTTCCTTACAGATCACTGATAAAGACATTAAATAAAGGCAAACTGAGTGGAATATATGCTCTCATCATTCATCTAACTGAGCATTTTTCAATCCGTGTGACAATGCTGGTCTCAAACCCATTTTAGATCTCAGTTCTCTTGGTAATCGAGGGGAGTGGGTTCAGACTACAAAAAGACGGATGAGAAAGACAGGGTCCACTTTGAGGCACTGGAGCGTGTCCAAAGAAAGGCAACAAAGCTGGTGAGGGGTCTGGAGCACAAGTCTTGGGAGAAGCAGCTAAAGGAACTGGGGTTGTTTAGCCTGGAGAAGAGGAGGCTGAGAGGAGACCTTATTGCCCTCTACAGTTACCTGAAAGAAGGATACAGTGAGGTGTGGTTGGTCTCTTCTTGCAAGTAAGAAGCTGTAGGATAAGAGGAAATGGCCTCAAGATGCATTAGGATTGGTTTAGATTGGATATTAGATATTATATGCACCAGAGCTCTCCAGCCCTGAAAGAAACATCAATTTTGCCCAAGCTGCTTAAATGCCTTAAGCCAGCCCTCACTCTCTGGCAGAACACAGCTTTAGCCTTTCACTCTACAAACAAACATGTCCAAATGGAATTTGTGTTTCCCGTGCTGGACCCTAAATATGTTTGTTGAAACATTTTAGCTAGAATACTTTAAAGTACATTCTTTTTTAAATCCTGTCAAACCTAGAATGATTAAGCTTGGAAGAATTATGCCCCCAAAAAACAGGTTTTCTGTTTAATGATTCACACATAAACCATCCTTAAAAGATCTTCCCTTCATTTAGCAGTTTCCTTCATTCAGCAATTTTTCATACGGGAGTAAAACTCCCATATAAATTCTGTACAGCAGTTAAGAAAACAGATAAATTAATCTGCTATACCCTTATGCAGCTATGGCTCCTGCTACTCTTTATTTCCAGACATCAGATTCTGCGATGCTCATTCTCATCTACTCTTTGAAGAAGAAAAGGGCTCAGGGGACTGCTGAGCCTCTGGAGTTCAGGGCAAGCCCCTGGTCAGTGCCACGCAGGCATCATGCAGCACGGGGCTGTGCAATGCTGCAGAAGATGTCTATTTCCCTAGGGTAAAATCTCAACTTCAGGAAAATAATTGTCAGAACTATTCTGCATCACTCCCCAGCGACCTGGCAATAGGTTTTACTCCTCTCCAAGGTTTTTGCATCTCAGAATTTAAAAAATATGATCAGTTTCTCATTTTTGTCCCTAGTTAAGTGCGGTGATATTCCCGTCTGTGTATGTTCAGAAAAGCATGCCCAGCTGAATGGCCAGCACAGCCACTCGGGCTTCCTCCTCTGGTTCTTGTTCAGCCTCCCTCAGTGCTTTGGCTCCTCTTGCATGACCCATGTTTCCAAGGCAAATTTTGGCAACATCGAGCCTCTGAGTCTTCACACACATGCGAGCCATGTTCTCCCAGACAGCTTCACTGTGAGAAATGGGAAAGAAAAAGAGAGCTGTTAAAGCATCACCTTTAAGGCTTGGGTACTAAGCAGGTACGATGCAAGGAAAGAGGAGAGCGTGAAAGGGAAAACCATCAGTACATTGGACACTTGGTGGATGTGACAAGGAGACTTCAGTTGCTGCGTAAGATTGAAAAGGAACAGAAATAGGCCTCAGACATAAAGGTTAGTTCCCGAGCTGAATGTCTACAGCCTTAAGAAAATATTGTGGGTTTTGCTTTACACCAATCTCTAAACAAAAGCAGTAATGGTTGCACGTATATAAACATTTACCATGCACCGTCGCTGTGGTTCTTGCTGTAGCTGTGCCTCCCTGTCAATGTTCAGAATTCAAAAGAAAAACTATGAGAAAAGATTTTATAGACATTAACCTTACACTGGAGACATCCGGCTGGTGTCCTGCATAGTTCAAACATGGAATAGCCTTCAGGAGCCCAATAGTTGTGCTCAAAAACAGGGAATGATGCGTAGGAAACAACCAACCAAACGATCATGCTCCAATTTAAAACTTACATAAAGAAAAGAAAAAAAAGCACAAAGCAAAGCTGCACAATGCTTAGAATGAGAACTCCTCAGGGCTAAGAGCTTACACTTAGCACTGCAAAATCCTCTGCTGAGACAGAGGCAGGGACTGGCTGAGCACCGTGCTTCCATGAAGGAACATCGGCTCTCAGCAGGAGCAGTGCCCAACAGGACCATGACATGGTTGACCATTGCATGGGGCGACAAGCAAAGATCTTCCTAGATTCTATTCATATTTGAGGTTCTTCAGAATAAAATGCAGTATGTTTGACTAACAGAAACATTAAGCATTCAAAATATGGGGTTTTTATCAGTGGAAGTATGGTCCTTCAGTGCTCAGACACCACCACAGCACAAAGTAAGTATCTAAATGACAAAAAAAAAAAAAAAAGAAAAAAAGAGAGATGAATGACACTTCAGATCCTGCATCTGCATGCAAATTCCCTTCCAGCTTTCCTATTATGAAAATGTTTTTCTTTTCCCAGTCACTGTGGGAAAGCCCTGCACAAACAGGGGAAAGTGACTAACAGGGAAGCAGTGAAGCAGATGAGACACGACGTGCTGCTGAACACAAACCGAAAAGAAAGGCAGAGAAAAAATGCTTTTCCTAATTTATTTTACATTTAGATCACCTTTTATTTGCAACTACAACTAGCATAAAGTTTCCATGTAGTAACCAACATAAATATGTGACACAAACTTCATTAAGGCTAAACAGTGTAGAGAAAATAAAACAGGATCAAAAGTGATAAATCAGGGGTATATTTCAGATAGTTCAGGAGTTTTCCTTGATTAGAGAAGCAAAAATGCATGTCTGAATATTTTACTGAATTTCTTACATCTGCACGTCCATGCTGAACGTGGTTCAAATGCAGCCTCCTCTCATGCTCTGCACCAACACATCCACGTCCCACAGTCTGGTGAGCAGAAAGGAGCATTGAAAGCAAGCACAGTAATTTCTGAACTGGAAAGGCCTTACAGAAACAACAGTGCTTGATCCTTCTGAGTGCAGCCTATGCATCGCCACTCAATATAGAAATGCTGACTTACATAAGCAGAAGACGTGACTGTCCTAGTTTTTGAAAAGCTGGGAATTTATTGCTCTTTTATTCTAGCCACCGCCTATATCTGGAACTGGAAAAAGCTGGAAAAATACCTTTAAAGAACATTTAGGTCTTGGTAGATATGGTCACCTGGCTTTGATCAACAAGGACAGTGACTTCTGTCCCCAGTAATAGATGTCAAACCCTGTGTGTGTGGACATAGCTGCACTTCACTATGCACAAGGAAGAGAAATACGTTTTCCAAAATCTGTAGCATGCCAGAAGAAGTTGCCAATAGCTGTTTCACTCTGGGTGAAGGAACAAACACCTGTGCTGTGCTTTGTCAAACTGACTAACAGCAAATTTCTGAAAGGAAATCAAAAATCTTTCTTTTTCAGAGCTTTGACAGCTTGCAATTCCCTCAGTACAAGAAGACGAGAGTTCATGGACTTGAACAAAGTGGATGAGAAATCATATTTAGACTACAGGGAGTGAAAACTTTTGAAAGGAAATAGACCAAATAGCGTATTTTAAGTACAAAGTTAAAAGATAACAGTGTGCAGAGACACACAGCAGGATGTAGAAGATACTACTCATCCCCTTTTGGCTGCATTATGCTTTCCTGAATGGCAATGGCTCCTACCAACTTCAAACCTTGGTGGGAGCTGCTGCCCCAGAGATTCCTCTTTAGGAGCTCTTGCCCCATACACAGCCCTCCCATGAACCCCCTCCGGCACCTATGCCAGCCCTATGCAGTGGATCACCCAGATGCACCTCTGTGCTGAGGAGCTGAAGCTCTGCTACCCCACCTCCTCCCCCTCCACTCCAAACCATGTCCAAAACTAACCCGAAAGGCTCCCGCAAAGGGGTTTGACTTCAATGCAATAAACACAGAGGAAGAAACATCTCCAGTTGATATGCTCTGTGTTTCGTCTTATTTTGGCAAACGCTGCCTTTCCGACAGCTCCAGCCAGGCAGGTGGTGAGCACACACGAGAATTCAGCACTGTGGTCAAACCAGACCAAAGCCACCAAATTTGGAAGTGTTCCCAGAGGAGCAGTGTTTGCATGGACTCATCCAGCACAGAGACCAAAGCAAAAGACAGGCTCAGAGCAGCTCACCAGCACAAGTACCTATGAAATGTGAATACGTTGCCTCTCTCTGCCCATCCCTTCTCCTGCCTCTGCCTTCCAGAAGCGTTTGAAGGAACATTTCATCTCGCAACTCTGGCTATGCTCTGCACAGAGGAGTTCCCATCCTCCCATGGGAGCTAAGGACAGCTTTGTTAGCACCTGTATGGGTGAGAACCCACAGCCAAACCTTCTCCCCTGGTCCCTGTGGAGCTGCAGCAGAGGCTGATTCTCTCCAGTAGACATGTTCCCTCACAAGAAGGACACTGCTCTGATTATTTCAATGGATTATTTCAATTTTCTCCCTGCAGCAAAATATTAGCAAATGACAGACACCTCCAGCACCAGAGCAGGAGTCCTGCCCAGCAGTTTTCAGTGCTCCCTGGGAATGGGGGTAATTTAATACAGGTCTGGCTGAGGAACAAGAAACAGGAGGTGCAGAATAGGCTTGCTGAAATCCCAGATGCAACCATGGTTTCTCTCTCCACAGTTGTAGGCGTAGTGAAAAAGATTAATTTGTCCTGAATTGAATTTGTTCAACATCTTTATTGATGACCTGGATGAGGGGATTGAGTCTACCCTTAGTAAATTTGCAGACGACACCAAACCTGGGGGGGATGTCAATCTGCTGGAGGGTAGGAAGAGGCTGCAGAGGGACCTGGACAGGCTGTGTCAATGGGCAGAGGCCAATGGTATGAAGTTTAACAAGACCAAGTGCAGGGTTCTACACGTCAGCCACAATAACCCCATGCAGCGCTACAGACTGACGGAAGAGTGGCTGGAGAGCGGCCCAGCAGAGAGGGACCTGGGAGTACTGGTTGACAATCGACTGAACGTGAGTCACCATGCCCAGGTGGCCCAGAAGTCCAATGGCATCCTGGCCTGTATCAGGAATAGTGTGGCCAGCAGGACTAGGGATGTAATTGTCCCCTTGTACTCAGCACTGGTGAGGCCTCACCTCGAGTACTGTGTACAGCTCTGGGCCCCTCACTTCAAGGATATTGAGGTGCTGGAGCAGGTCCAGAGGAGAGCAACAAGGCTGGTGAAGGGACTAGAGGGAAAGTCTTATAATGACAGGCTAAGAGAGCTGGGGTTGTATAGCCTGAAGAAGAGGAGAGTCAGGGGGGAACCTTATAACTCTCTACAACTACCTGAAGGGAGGTTGTAGTCAGGTGGAGGTTGAGCTCTTCTCCCAGGCAACTGGTGACAAGACAAAAGGGCATGGCCTGAAGCTGTGCCAGGGGAGCTTTAAGCTGGATATCAGAAAGTAGTTTTTCACGGAGGGGGTGATCAGGCATTGGAATGGACTGCCCAAGGAGGTGGTGGAGTCACCATCTCTGGAGGTGTTTAAGGAAAGGCTGGACGTGGCGCCTCGGGGCCGGTCTAGCCAACGTGGTGGTGTTAGGTCATAGGCTGGACTTGATGAACTCAGAGGTCTTTTCCAGCCTCAAAAATTCCGTGATTCTGTGATTCCTTGCATCCCTAAAAGGCAGCAACTCTTCTTTCCAGGCTTGGCCCTGCTGTCACATATAAAATGCCAAGTAATAATTTACCCTGCCCCCAGCTCATGCTCTGGGAATTTCCTGTTCTTCCCCTCCTCCTTCTCCTTTTCTCTCCCCTGGAAAGCTGCTCACAGCTGTACTTCATCAGCCAAAGCTGGGAACTTAATGAAGACCAGGCACAGCAACGGTGTGAGCTGAGCCATGGGAATGCATGTCCCGAGCGTCCTGGGGAGCGACGTCTCCCGTGAAGGACGTGAATAAATGCTCTGCTGCTGCACCCCAGGCTCCAGGCCACAGCAACAGCACGATGGATTGAGGAAGCAAACTTCAATGCCTCTTAAGACTAGACACAATTTTAACCACATACTTGATGAAAAAGTTTTTCTTCCTTTATACCCGATCTTTTGCATCTGTTTTTCTGTGAAACTGTGTTTATAGCATCTAACAGTCTGATTTTACAAACCCTTCTGTTCCTATATATTTTTCATTGCCCATTTTGCCTGAAAGTTTAAAGAAAGAATCCAGTAAATGGAGTATTATTTAGAAGTGCTGAAGATTTATGTCTGAAGCATCTCACTATAAAACTGCTTTGCCACTATTTAAAGGGTTATATTTGGAAAATGAGCATATGTTCCATCTTTTTGCCTCTAAATATCTTGATAAGAAGAAAAAAAGAATCTCTCTTCCCAATTTGGGCCCCACTTTGTTGAACAGGACCCTAAGCATTCTGCTTTAAAAGACTACTGTGTAATGCAGGGGGCAATACTACCATAAGTTATAATATCTATAATACTAATATCAGATATAATATCTATAACACTATTATATATAATAATATATTATTACATCCCTACAACAGTATATTATCTGTAACATATAATATATTCTTACATCCCTAATGTATATATCTACCTAGAACAGGTGGGTGTCCCCTTGTGCGTCAGGCACAGCCTGGGCTGTCAAAAATGGAAATAACCCCAGCAAGTGGGAGAGTTTCTACTGCCCCAGTGGTGGGGACAAGGAAGCTTCACTTGCCTGTAAGAGGAATTCAAATCAGATTCCCAGCAGCTGAGCCCACTGGGGCTGCAGGGGATGTCCCGTTCTGGTGCAAAGCATTTACAATGGGATTTACCCCACGGCAACCTGTGTCTGGGCTGATCTGGCCAAACGCTGCCGGGCACTGGGCACCACCCTTCCCTGCCTCCCCC